ACCCGTGTCTGGGCTGAGGGCAAGGCTGTTTTTCCACCGGAGGACGTGAGTCAGTGAGCCGTGAGGTTCCACTAAATCCCCACCCAACACAGGCTGTTCAAATTAGAAGCCAGGGAAGCAAGGAAGTGATGAGTACCGTGGGTACAGTGTGGGTGGAGGCTGGCTGCGGGGAGGAAGGAGGTCTTCTAGGTCAGACCTGATCACGGGCTGGAGGTCTTCTAGGTCAGACATGATCACGGGCTGGCCCCTGAGATAGCTGCTTTAAGTTTATACGCACATCTTTTATGTACTTTTCTAAGTGTATGCTGTAGTTCTCAATTGGAACCAGCTTAAAAACATAAAACCTAAGCCAGGTACTAGCCTCCAAACTATTTTAGAGGCTGAGATCTGAAGATCGTGGTTCAAAGCCATCCCAGGCTGGAAAGTCCATGAATCTCTTACCTCCAGTTAGCCACCCCCGAAAAACTGGAATGGAGCTGTGGCTCAAGTGGGAGAATGCTAGACTTGAGCAAAAAAGCTCAGGGACTGTGCCCAGACCCCAGTTCAAGCCCCAGGACCAGCACCCAAACAAACAAAACAAACAGAAACAAAAACAACCTATGAAAGTTCTTAAGCAGAGAAGACATGACCGTATTCTGTATTATGAAAAGATCCCTTGGGGAAGTAGAGGTGTTACTTAATTAGCAGAGTAACTGCTTGAGTGGAAAAGCCAAGTGAGCAGATGAGGCCCTGAGTTCAAGCCCCAGTACACACAGGGGGAAGAAAATGAAAGGTGGGGCAAAACCCGAAGCAGAGAAACCAGATGGAAGGTAGCTGCTATAATTTGGTAGCCTGAGCTTAAGAGAGGTGAAATATTAGAGATGTAGACTGCACTATTTATTTAATTTATTTATTTGTTGTTGTTATTGGTTGTGGGGCCTGAACTCTGGGTCTGGGTGCTTCAGCTCAAGGCCACAACACCACTTCCAGCCTTTTCTGCTTATGTGATGCTGAGGAATCGAACCCAGGGCCTCATGCATGCTAGGCGAGCACTCTACCACTGAGCCACCTTTCCAGCCCCTAGACTGCACTATTTAAACAAACAAACACATAAACAGAATAAAATGCTGGTATTACCCCTCGGCTCTTTTTCCCACCGAATTTGGCTCGGGATTGGTAATCTAGAGGCCCGCACATACTTCCTCTCTACCCACTCTGTAGTAACTCAGGAGTTCGTGCTGCCTGGACACCGGTGGCTCAAGCCTGTAATCCTAGATACTCAGGAGGCTGAGATCTGAGGATCTCGGTTCAAAGCCAGCCTGGGTAGGAAAGTCTGTGAGACTCTTATCTCCAATTAATCACAGAAAAAGTCAGAAGTGGGGCTGTGGCTCAAGCGGTAGAGTGCTAGCCTTGAGCAAAAGAAGCTCAGGGACAGCGCCAAGGCCCCAAGTTGAAGCCCCATGACAAAAAAAAAAAGCATTCATTCAGCCTGGCCAGCCATGATGCTGAGCTGAGCTGAGCCGAGCTGACAGCAGAGGCCTGGCAGCAGAGTGCTAGTCTTAGAGGGCAAAGGCATTTTTCACGGTTGTTATTTATTAACTTACTTGGTGGTATTGGGTTTGAACTCGGGGCCTTACACTTTCTACCAGCTGAGTGATATCCCTAGTCAGTAAAAGATTTGTTTATTCCATTCACTAAAACCAAAACCAAATTCGGCACATAGTAGGTGTTCAATAAGTATTACAAGGGGCTGGGAAGATGGCTCAGTGGTAGAGCACTTGCCTTGCATGCATGAGGCCTTGGGTTCGATTCCTCAGCACCACATAGGCAAAAAGAAAAAAGCCAGAAGTGGCGCTGTGGCTCAAGTGGTAGAGCGCTAGCCTTGAGCTGAAGAGCTGAGGGACAGCGCCCAGGCCCAGAGTTCAGGCCCCACGACCGGACCCAATAAATAAATAAATAAATAAGTATTACAAATGACTGCCTTTTTTTTTTGAGGCACGTTGGCCCTAAGTTGGCCAAGCTGCCTCCTGGGTAGTCCTGTTCATCCCCAGGTAGCTGGGAGCACAGTCATGCGATGCCATGCTGGGCTCACGTTTTTTTTTTTTCTTCTTCTTCTTTTTTTTGGGGGGGTCCGGTCGTGGGGCCTGAACTCTGGGCCTGGGCACTGTCCCTCAGCTCTTCAGCTCAAGGCTAGTGCTCTACCACTTGAGCCACAGCGCCACTTCTAGCTTTTTCTTTTTGCTTATGTGGTGCTGAGGAATCAAACCCAGGGCCTCATGCATGCAAGGCAAGCGCTCTACCACTGAGCCACCTTCCCAGCCCTGGGCTCATATTTAATTGGTTATTATAACTATTGTTTTTTGTTGTTGTTTTTTTTTGGTCCAGGCCATGGAACTAGAAGTCAGGGCCTGGGCTGTCCCAGAGCTTTTTTCAAAAGTCAAGGCTAGCTCTCTACCACTTGACCATAGCTCTACTTCTGGCTGTTTTTGGTGCTTAATTAGAGAGTAAGAGTTTCATGGACTTCTCTGCACAACTGGCTTAGATCTACAATCCTCAGACCTCAGCCTCCTGAGTAGCTAAGATGACAGGTGTGACCCACTGGAGCCTGGAAGACTATTGATAATCTTCACAAGGCTCTTGGGTAGGACATAAATTACGATCCCCATTTTGTAAGTTAGAAAACAGATTTGGAGACATTAAGGAACATGTCTGGTTGTCGGGATCAAGTCCATCCCCTTGTTTTTTCCCACTTCACATCTAAAACGCTGAGGCTTAATGCTCCTATAGTTCTGAATCACCAGTTGGAAGTGTTCCAAAACACATGATCAGTATTATCCAACACTGGGTGTCATCTGACGTGCCAGGTTCCTGGGTGAATGAGGCCTGGCCAGTGGCCTGTGGACTCATCGACCTGCCCAGCACCATCTAGCACTCACGTCTCTCTCCATGCCCTCAGTTGTCCACTTGTCACACCCCCCCCCCACCTCCCCCCCGGCCTCAGCCAGTTCACCTCTCCAAGCAATAAAAGCGGAACCACATCTAGACTCAAGTGGTAGAGGGCTGGGAAGGTGGCTTAGTGGTAGAGCGCTTGCCTTGCATGCCTGAGGCCCTGGGTTTGATTCCTCAGCACCTCATAAGCAAAAAGAAAAAAGCCGGAAGTGGTGCTGTGGCTCAAGTGGTAGAGTGCTAGCCTTGAGCTGAAGAGCTGAGGGACAGCACCCAGGCCCAGAGTTCTGGCCCTACGACCGGATCCCCCCAAAACAAACAAACAAACAAAAAACAAAAGGGAATACTCAAGCTTAAAAATTCCACAAATAATTCTGGTTCTCATTTCAGTTAAAAGTTCATGATCTATTTACCAGAAATACATCTGACAAAGGCCTACTATCCAAAACATACAAGGAATTAACCCCTCCCAAAGCTAATAAACCAATTACTAAATGGGCAAAGGAGGTAAAAAGAGACTTAAGAAGTAAAAATGGGGGCTGGGAAGATGGCTCAGTGGTAGAGCGCTTGCCTTGCATGCACATAAACAGGAAAAAAAAAGCCAGAAGTGGTGCTATGGCTCAAGTTGTATAGCGCACTAGCCTTGAAGTAAAGAGCTGAGGGACAGCGCCCAGGCCCAGAGTTCAGGCCTCATGACTGGACTCCCCTCCAAAAAAAAAAAAGAAGTAAAAATGGTAAATAATAGTCAACATCCCTGGCCATAAAGAAAATAACTAATAACTAAAATACTCTGAGATTCCATCTCACCCCAGTTAGATAGGCCAACATTATGATTTCTAAGAACAAATGCTGGTGGGATGTGGGGAAAGAGGAGCCCTTCTGAACTGTTGGTAGCAAAGTAAACTAGTACAGCCAATCACTCTGGAGGGCAATTTGGAGGTTCGCAAAAAACCAGAGATTTTTCCCTATAACTCAGCCATACCACTCTTGGGCATTTACCTAGAACATCACAAGTCAGGATAAGGTAAAGACGTGTACATCCATATTCATTACATATTTACTCCTGGCTACTTTACAATAGCCAGGTTATGGAAACAGCCTGGATGCCCTACAATAGATGGATGGATCAATAAAAATTTTACTTATCCACCAGAAGGAATAAGATTAGGGCTGAGAAGGTGGCTCAGTGGTAGAGCGCTTGCCTTGCATTTTGAAGCCCTGGGTTCAATTCCTCAGCACCACATAAGCAAAAAGAAAAAAGCCGGAAGTGGTGCTGTGGCTCAAGTGGTAGAGTGCTAGCCTTGAGCAGAAAAGCCAAGTGAGAGAGGTCCTGAGTTTAAGGCCAGCACCGGCACAAAAAAGAAACGTTAAAGGAAATCCTGTTACTACAAGCACACATGTTCTAAAACAGAGAAAAAAGTGGCAATGAGTAGTTCTGATGCTCTTCAAATGGAATCACATAGGAGGCTAAAAACATAAGATCCATGAAAAGTTAACTGTGGTCCTTTTCCTCCTAATTAAAGTTAGTAATTTGTACCAGATACCAATGGCTCACAACTATAATCCTAGCTACTCTGGAGGTAAAGATCTAATGAGCAGGGTTACAGTCCAGGCAGAAAAGTCCATGAGACTTTTATTTTCAATTAAGGATCAAAGAAAAAGCTACAGGTGGAGCAGTGGCTCAAGTGTAAGAATATTGGCTTTGAGCAAAAAGCTCAAGGACAATGCCTAGGCCCTGAGTTTTAAGCCATAGTACTGGCACAAAAACTTAGTCATTTGAAGCATAAATTATAATCCCTCCCAGGGAACACCAGACATCAGTTGGTATTAGTATCTACATATCTGGAGTTTTATATTCCTCTGGGGAATTCCTAGTCGAATTCAAAAGTAGCAGCGAACAAAACAGCACAAGCATGATTTCTGCTTTACTTAAAATATCCATGAACACCACAGAGCAGTCTGACTCCTCCACGTCCTCCCTTGTGGTGCTGGGCACCTATTCCCCAAGGGCCATTTGGTCTGGAGAAGTTGCCACAACAAGTAAATAGGATAAGAGTGTGCGCCACAGGACTCACCAGAAATTCACTGGCAATCTCCTCACTGTTCACTTGCTTGCTTTGGATGGTATGCAGGAACTTCTGCAGAATTTCTCTTTGGTCCATGCTGTTGGACAAGAGAAGCAGTCTGTGAGAGAGCTGGAGGGTGTACAAATGTGTGTCAGGGCCCAGATACCACCAAGAAGCTACCTCTGCTGCCGGAGCTTAGCACGCTGAAGGTTGTGGTTTAGTGACATCATCAAAGCCTAGAGGAAATTAGTGCGAAAGCAGCCTGTGGTCACACTATACACAGAGCCATCACCCCTGGCAGGGCCCTAGCGCCTTCCTCCTAGCCGAGGAGCCTGGCTACAGCTCATGAACAGACACAAGGCTCACCAGGACTTCAAATGTGGTCTCAGCTCTGAGAATGTTCCACCCCATCACCTTGAAGTGAGATTTACCTCTCATTTTGCTTCTCAGAAGAGAGCCAGAACTACAGGTCTGAGGGGTGAGTTCTGCCTCTCCCCACCTCCAGAGAACACAAAACCCCTCCCATACTGAACAAACTGCGGAAAACAGAGGACACTGCTAAGCAGTTGTGCAGCTCCTACCTGGACTGTGACCAGGTTCTTGTCACAATGGTCCGTCATCATCCAAGTAGTGCAGTTTAATTCAGAACTCTTCCATCTGTCACACAGACATCAAATTCGCTCTTGGATGAAATAAAATGGGCTGCTTCTCAGCCTCCTCTCCCGGGGCTGGGGTGTGGTGGCATTCTCAGCACTTCAGTCCCCTGCCATATGTGAGCTTCCTGTGGTTGTATGTGCTGGTGTGCATGCACACGAAGCCAGCGGTCCTCACACAGCGAGTGCAACCAGGCAGCTAGTGGACGCCCAGGCACTGCTGGCCAACAGTGAAGGGACAAATGAAAGCAAAAGGGGCCCTTGGCTGAGACGTAGAGATTCCAGGTCAGAAAGTTAGCAGAGACACTGTTTTGTGAATGAAGCTGTCCTGTGTGGGGTCTTTTTTTTTTTTTTTGGTCAGTCGTGGGGCTTGAACTCTGGGCCTGGGCACTGTCCCTCAGCTCTTCAGCTCAAGGCAAGTGCTCTACCACTTAAGCCATAGCACCACTTCCAGTTTTCTAGTGGTTTATTGGAGATAAGAGTCTCATGGACTTTCCTGCCCGGACTGGCTTTGAACTGTGATCCTCAGATCTCAGCCTCCTGTGTAGCTAGGATGACAGGTGTGAGCCACCAGTGCCCGGCCCTGTTTGTGGTCTTTTGGCCATACAGGCCAACTATTCTAGAAAAGCCTCCCACATTTATTCACATGAATTCTCTTCTCAATGGGTACAAATCTACCTAATATCTAACTCCAAAATAACTAGATCTTTGAGGGTAGAAGTTAGATAAATAATACATGAACAAAATGAGTCTGGCTGGTCACCAGTAGCTCTCGCCTATAATCCTAGCTACTCCGAAGGCTGAGTTCTGAGGATAGAGGTTCAAAGTCAGCCCAGGCAGAAAACTTTTTTTTTGAAAGGTTGTGCAAAACTATTGTATTTACAAAATCAGCACAAAAGTGAATGCAACACAGTCACTGTACATGCACACTTCATTCACATCTTCCACCATGAAAAGGTTGTAATGCCACAAAAAGGCGGGGGCAAGCTTCACCAACAGCTGCTAAGCACTGAAGCCACATGTGATACTGGAATGGACAAATATTGCCCAAGGGAGATTCTACTGTGAATGCTGAGACAGGTTGAAGGCTATTAAACACAGTTATTCCAATCTTTTGGAGCCCCATCAACTTGTGTTTGAGTATGTGACTTTTCTTCCAACTTGTGGTCTTAAACTTCCATTTTACAAAATCCAGAAGGAAATACGAAAGAAATCAAAACAAGAGAGGTCATATTAACCAGGAGTTAGCGTATGAAGATATAATTAAGATGGAGAAAGAAAGTCAGAACATTAAAATGGTACAACTTGCTTTGTTAGTTGTTGAAACCAGTCCTACATTAGAAGTTAGATAATATACACAATTATTTTCAAGTAGATTGCTTATGTTGTTCTAACATGTCTTTCTCATCAATGCACTATTAAGCTAAGCAAACCTCTACAAAAGAACAGTCCCTTACAATAGCAGCACACACTACCGCTACCTGCAAAGCTGTCAGTCTCAAAAGACTTAGTGAATGAAAAGAAACAGAAGTGGATAAGTAACATATTAAGGAGGAATACTGGGAATTAGAAGATTCATGCAGTTCAGCTCTTTGAATCAGCCAGCCAGCTTGCTAGCGATGAGGGATGGTTTCCGCTGAGGAAGGTCCTGTGGAGTGGGAATGTGGTCCCCAGTGACCTCTGTCTTGTCCGGAGCTGCAGTGGGCAGTTGCTTGTTCTTCATCTTTGCTTTAACCATGTTGTAATCTCCAGAATCAAACTATTTTTGCCCTTTCTGTAATCGTTTCCTTAGAAAATCTGAACCCACAGGCTTCTGTCCCAGGGAAGGATATCTTGCTTTTAATTTTGCTTCTTCAGCTTTCTCTGGACTAGTCACTTTATCTTCCATTTCCTTTTGCTCCTCGGCTGAGGCTGCCTCAAGGACTTCCGTGGACATGATGCTCCTTAACCCTATTCCTCCACCTCCGCGATGTCTCCCAGGCAGAAAACTTATACAATTTTTTTCTCCAGTTAACCAGCAAAAACTCAGAAATGGAGGCATGGCTCAAGTGGTAAAGTGCCTGTCTTGAGCAAAAAAGGCTAAAGGAAAAAAAAAATTAGCCTATGCTGGTGACACACCTGTAATCCTACTCAGGAGGCTGAGATCTGAGGATTGCAGTTTGAAGGCAGCCTGGGCAGGAAAGCCTGTGAGATTGTTATCTCCAGTAAACCATCAGAAAACCAGAAGTGGTGCTATGGCTCAAAGTGGTAGAATGCTACAGCCTTGGACAAAAAAACCTCAGAGACAGTGCCCAGGCTTTGAATTCGAGCCCCAGGACCAAAACAAAGAAAAAAACTGAGTTTCGTGTGAAACCCAAAAGGTGAAAAAATACTGTGAAATAACTCAACCTCAATCACCTAACTGAAAGGCCATTTCCTGCACAGACCACTCCAGCAGCAGAGAACACACTGAAGGAGAAAACAAAAATTTAAACTACTTCATCGTTCACAATTTTTTTTTTTGGCCAGTCCTGGGACTTAAACTCAGGCCTGGGCACTGTCCCTTGAGCTCCTTTTTCTCAAGGCTAGCACTCTACCACTTGAGCCACAGATCCACTTCCGGCTTTTTCTGTGTAGTAGTACTGAGGAATCGAACCCAGGGCTTCATGAATGCAAGGCAAGCACTCCACCACTAAGCCCACTTCCCAGCCTGTTCACAGTTGTTCTTACAGATACAGAATGGCAGTGGGAGCGTAATTCTTTTCCCAGGGCAGCACGTTGACTCATTTGTATCATGTGGGAAGTCAGGAGTCAGGAAAGGAAACAAGTCACCAGCGAAGGTCAGCACATATCATGGAGAAATGAGGAACTTTTGATGAAATAATGGAAATGGAGGTATGGCTCAAGTGGTAGAAAGAGCCCAGTGAGAGCATGGGATCCTGAGTTCAAGCCCCTGTACTCGTCCACACACACACACACACACACACACACACACACACACACAAATTACCCAAGTGCCGGTGACTCCCATTGTCATCCCAGCTACTCGGGAGGCTGAGCTCTAGGATTGTGGTTCAAAGCCAGCCAGCCAGGGTAGACAAGAGACTTGTATTCCTAACTGGCAAAGAACTGGAAATGGAGTTGTGCTTAAGTGGTAAAGTACCAGCCATGAACAAAACAGGTAAGCAAGAACAGAAAGCCCTGAGTTCAAGCCCCAGTACCAACACACAAAATAAATAAGATTTGCACCTGGGAGCTGGTGGCTCACACCTATAATCCTAATGGGATCTGAGGATCGTGGTCCAAAGCCAGCCCAGGCAGTAAAGTCCCTTAGACTCTTATCTCCAATCAGCCACCAGAAAACCAGAAGTAGTGCTGTGGCTCAAGTGGTAGTGTGCTCTCCTTGAGCTTAAGAGTAAGAACACTCCCATGCCTGGGGTTCCAGGCCCACGACTGACAAAAAATAAGAAATGAAAATAAATAAATAAGATTTGCAAACACTGCCAAAACCAGCAAGACTGAGCTGGTATATAAGCACCTGGGAAGTGAGGCAGAGGTGATTTCACTGCTGGCTCGAGGGTTCAGAAAAAAGGCAGCCTACAGGCCACTGGAAGTCACCAAGAGGCCAGCATGTCAGGGCTGGGAAGGTGGCCTAAGTGGTAGAGAGCTTGCCTAGCATGCATGAGGCTCTGGGTTCGATTCCTCAGTCCCACATACACAGGAAAAAACCAGAAGTGGCACTGTGGCTCAAGTGTTAGAGCACTAGCCTTGAACAAAGAGACTCAGGGACAGCACCCAGGCTCCCTGAGTTGAAGGAAAGAGAGAGGAGAGAGAGAGATCCCAGAAGTTAAGAAGGAGACAACAAACAGCTTCAAGGAGATCTCCATGGTGATGATCTAGGCAGCTGAGAGAGGACACCCGCTCCAGCTTCTCAGAGCACCTTCTCTGTGCCAGGGCGTTTACCTGGGAGAATCTTAACTTTAGGGGCTGGGAAGGTGGCTCAATGGTGGGGTGCTTGTCTCCCATGCATGAGGCCCTGGTTTTGATTCCTCAGCACCACATAAACAGTAAAAGCTGGAAGTGGGTGCTGTGGCTCAAGTGGTAGAGTCCTAGCTTTGAACTGAAGAGCTGAGGGACAGTGCCCAAGCCCAGAGTTCAAGCCCCACGATGGACTAAAAAAAAAATCTTAACTTTAATTCATTATTCTCACCTTCCCTTCATCTGAGGACCTTTGAGCTAATGTGGGTTACAAGTTATCTGTGAAACAGTCCTTCATACTCATTCTCTTGTCCTTTCTCAGTACCATTTAGATTTAACACGTCTTTACCATTCCTGTTAAGCATCTTTCCCATTTGTGTGTCTACTTTCCTGCAGCAGTGAACGCTCAAGTGATATTCCTGCCGAGACCTCTTCCATTCTAGAATTTCCTGGCCATGGAAGCTGGATGGAATTCCTTATAACTTTGCTTCCGTGTAAAGGAACCAAACCCATCCTGGTGGGCTACAGGAACAATTCAGATTCCTCAGCTTACTAAACCCATCCTCACCCAACCATCCACCCACATGGTGTAGACTTTGTTCATTCTAGCACCTCTTCTGTTTTCTTACCTTTGATCAAGCTAAAAATAGCCACCAAGCCAGCACTTCTCCCTAACTCCATCTAACTCTTATTTTCAATTACCCTGGGTCCTTGAAGTATTATTTACATATAGCTACAGACATTTGCTGAGTTTCTTCACATGTTCCTTGTTCCTTAGAATTTATTGTAAAGACATGCAAAATACTCTCTGCAGACTGTTTTGCATGTGTGTGTGTGTGCGTGCATGCATGAACATGTGTATACACACCCTACAAGAACTTGTAAACTCAGGGTCAGCTTCGCAGTGAGTTTATCAATGATACTGTCTTCTATGACATTTATATAAGCCCCAATGCTTGAAATGGTCTTAAACATACCTAAAAGAACCAGGTGCCAGTGGCTTATGCGGGTAAATCCTAGCTCCTCAGCTAAGAGTGGAGGATCTCAGTTCAAAGATTCTTGTTTCCAATTAACTAGCAAAAACACAAGTGAGGTATTACTCAAGTGGTAGAATACCACCCTTGGGCAAAAAAGCTAAGGGAAAGTACTTTGATCCTGAGTTCAAGCCCTAGTACTGCTACATACAAAAAACAAAACAAGCCGGGCGCTGGTGGCTCACGCCTATAATCCTAGCTACTCAGGAGGCTGAGATCTGAGGATTGCGGTTCAAAGCCAGCCCGGGCAGGAGAGACTGTGAGACTCCTATCTCCAATAAACCACCAGAAAACCGGAAGTGGTGTTGTAGCTCAAGTGGTAGAGCACTTGCCTTGAGCTGAAGAGCTGAGGGACAGCGCCCAGGCCCAGAGTTCAAGCCCCACGACCGACCAAAAAAACAAAAAAAACAAAAAAACCAAAAAAACAAAACAAAAAAACCCAAAACAAACCAAAAAAAAAAAAAAAAAAAAACATCACAGCACCTAAAACAGGCATATTACGTAGTTAGGTTCTGGTGTAAAACCTATTGCCTTGACTATTGACTACACCCATTACTCTAAGGTCCCTTGCCTGGCACACATTGCTTCTGGACTTTGAAGAGTGCCACTGTGTTCAGTAGACATCCTCCCGCTCCCCTTCCCCATGCTGGGAAGCTGGCAGGACCACTACTATGGAAGGAATAGGGTCTCCAAGACTCTGAGCCAGAGAGAGGCCCAGAAAAGCTGGAGGGGCCCAAGGAAACAAGTCCTTTCCCCTCTAGCAGGAACTTGGTTCTCCTGTGCACTGGTCCTCAGGACCCAGGCACTCTCCCCCAGCTTTGTACTCTGGGATCTGCCACCTGAACTGTACCTCTGTACACAGCGGAGCACCGTTACACAAGTCAGGTGACAAGTACATCCCCTTTGGCAGTGTCATCTGTTCCCTCGCTCTCCCACTCCTGCCCTCCTGCCTCCACCCACGAGTTGCACAGTTCACGTTCATCCATGTCCCATACGGCCAGTGCTGCAGTTTTGTGTTTTTGCCAGTCCAGGGGCTTGAACTCAGGGCCTAGACTCTGTCCCTGAGCTGCTTTTGTTCAAGGCTAGCACTTTACCACTTGAACCACAGTGCCACTTCTGGCCTTTTGTGTATGTGGTACCAAGGAATTGAACCCTGGTCTTCATGCATGCTAGGCAAGCACTCTACCACTGAGCAACCTTCCCAGCCCCCACCGCTGCAATTTTTCACCCTTTTTTCTCTGATTGTGTCCTCCTCTCACCCTCCATCATCTTCTGGCTTTTTTTATGACTAACTGGTGGAAAGAGTTCACTGACTTCAAACTTTGAGCCTCAGATCTTCTGAGTAGTGAGGATTATGGGCGTGAGCCACCAGCACACGGTCTTGATTCTTCTTTTGTAATGGTCAGAGAAGCTTACAAAACACCTCTAACTTGCTGGTCTGTCCCATTTTATACCATCCACAGCAGAATCCCTGGTGTGCCGCTGCTCTGTACAACATCTGGAGACACTGTCAAGTTCCTTGGTTCACCTGCCGCAGACTTCAGTCCTTTCCCATAATACACAGTAAAGCATTTCCTGCCTTTGTTTTCAGAATGCCAAGTGGCAAATGTCAACTGGTAAGTTGTCATTGAACAATTTATATTTAATGAAGTCAGCACTCTTGCTGAGGTCTGATGTTCCATTCAAAAGATAATTAAAAGCTGGGTATAGGGGCTGGGAAGGTGGCTCAGTGATGGGGTACTTGCCTAGCATGCATGAAGCCCTGGGTTCTATTCCTCAAAACCACATAAATGACAGTGGCACAGTGGCTCAAGTGGTTGAGTGCTAGCCTTGAGCAAAAGAAGCTCAGGGACAGCACCCAGACCCTGAGTTCAAGCCCCAGGACTGGCAAAAAACAAACAAACAAAAAAAAAAAACCCAGGAAGACAATCTGATACTTTTTTTTTGGGGGGGGGAGGTCTGGTCGTGGGGCCTGAACGCTGGGCCTGGGCGCTGTCCCTCAGCTCTTCAGCTCAAAGCTAGCGCTCTACCACTTGAGCCACAGTGCCACTTCTGGCTTTTTTCTTTTTGCTTATGTGGTGCTGAGGAATCGAACCCAGGGCCTCAGGTATGCAAGGCAAGCACTCTACCACTGAGTCACCTTCCCAGCCCCACAATCTGATACTCTTATCTCCAGTTGACAAGCAAAAATGTAGAAGTGGAGGTGTGGCTCAAGACTAACAGTTTTTTTGTTGGTGGTGGTGGTGGTCGTGGGGCCTGAACTCTGAGCCTGGGTGCTGTCCCTCAGCTCTTTAGCTCAGGGCCAGAGCTCTACCACTTAAGCCACAGCACCACTTCTGGCTTTTTTCTACTTATGTGGTACTGAGGAATCGAACCCAGGGCCTCATGCGTGCAAGGCAAGCACTCTACGGCTGAGCCACCTTCCCAGCCCAAGACAGTTACCAAGACAGTTAGAACAGGTACCAGCAAGGCTTTCTAAAAAGGGCCAGCTCATCAATACTTCAGCTCTGTTGGGCCGTGTGGGATCTGTCATCACCATTCAGCTCTGTTGTCGTGCAAGGCAGCCCTGGACAAAACACCAAGTATTTACAAAAGAAGACTTGCCAACTCCTGCACAAAACCTGGCTGCAGGTGATCCTGTAGAGTTGAAGAGGTAGCCTCCCGGGCCCTGGGGATCTGTGGGACTGGAACTCTGAGACCCTGCGCAGGTGTGGGTTGGGTGGCTGAAATCTGGGGTAAGGAAGTAAGCTCTTGAGCTAATGCTGACCCTTTTTCTCAAAGTTTATTTTTGAGTCTCAAGAACTGCCCAGGCTAGCTGGGAATAATCCTGCCTCTACTTCCAGATTAGCTAAGATTACAGGCAAGGCCACAACTGTTAATCAGCAATTTAATAAGGTTCGCAAACTGGCCTGAGAACCATACTGAGAAAAGCTCTGCACAGATGGCTTCACTTATGCTGCTGTGTCCAACTGTCTCAGATGTGGGCTGGTACTTCCTGCATCCTGTGGTGACAAAATGCAGAAACCTTTCTAATAGAAGAGTAGCTGAATAAGTTGCTGCCTTCGACTTTAAACTCTAAAACGAAGCTACTTTTACCTTTCTGTGCAGGTGAAAGCAACTTGAAATTTAGGGATACATTTGAAAGAAAATACTCAACATGTATATCGAAAAACAAACTTTACAACTTTGGTGGGGGGACGGGGGAGGGAGGGGAGGATATGAAGGGATGGGAAGGGGAAACAAAGGAGGAGGCTACAATGCTTGATAAGAAATGTGCTCATTATCTTACCCATGTAATTGTAACCCCTCTGTACAGTATTTTTCACAATAAAAAAAAAAAGAAAATACTCAACATAAAATAACAATTTTCAACTAAAAACTTTCCTGAGGATCCTTTAGGCTGCATAAATTACCCAGACAAGACTGGGTTAAATCTGAAAAAAGTTTCCATTGTCCTGTGTTTCAGGCCTGCTCTGTGGCTTGGAATGTCACTAATAACAAGTCATTACTTTGTCCCTAGAAGGCTTCGCCTCAACAAACCCTCATTAAATCTCATGCAAAAGACAAAAGTATAAAAGCGCTGTAGAATCCTGGGAGCTGCTCCTAATTTTACCAATCAGTAAAAAACAACTTATTCAGCAAGGTTGCATTTTATTCAGCTAGGTTGCGTTCTGCCCAGGCAAAGATGGTTTTTGATTTATTTGTCTTTTTAATGACCAGAAATGATGAATGTCCTGATTAGTCAAAGAGGCAGTACGTCCAGTCAAGAGAAGAACTACTCTTCTTTGCTCTCCAGCTTTCTGTAAAAAGAAAACCTACAGTCAAAGCGATGGTTTTAGGAACTGTCCAAGAAACAACAGAATGAGCCAAGCCGTGGTGCTTGTAAACCCAACTACCCAGGAGGCTGAGATCTGAGGATCAAGGTTTGAGGCCAGCCTGAGCAGACAATCTTATCTCCCGTTAACAAACAAAAAGCTGGTACTGGAGCATGCCTCAAGTGGTAGAACACCAGCCTTGAGAAAAGAAGCAAGCCCCTGATATTAATACCCCCCAAAAAAATAAGTCAGAAAGAAGACCTAAAAATCTACCAAGGAGGGCTGGGAAGGTGGCTCAGTGGTAGAGTGCTTGCCTTGCATGGCTGAGGCCCTGGGTTCGATTCCTCAGCACCACATAAGCAAAAAGAAAAAAAAAGCTGGAAGTGGCGCCGTGGCTTAAGTGGTAGAGCACTGGCCTTGAGCTGAAGAGCTGAGGGACAGCACCAGGCCCAGAGTTCAGGCCCCATGACCGGACCCAAAAAAAAAAAATCTACCAAGGAAGCCAGTGGTTCATGCCTATCATCCTACCTACTCAGAAGGCTGAGATCTGAGGATCATGGTTCAAAGCCAGCCTGGGCAGGAAAGTCCATGAACCAGCAGAAAACTGGAAATGGAGCTGTGGCTCAAAGTGGTAGCAAAAAGAGCTCAGGGACAGTGCCCAGGCCTTGAGTTCAAGCCCCTCAACCACCACCACCAACAAAAAGAAATCTACCAAGGAGCAGAGTTAAGTCAGGCTGCAGTTAGAACTACACCACCAGTGAATTTCAATGACTGTGCTGAAGTTGAGGTTAGTTATACAGAGGACATCCGTGACATGTTAGGCAACTTGGCTGAGGAGCCCAACCCCACCAGCTGAGCTGCTGCCCATTCCTCTTTCCTTGGCAACAAAATACTGCAATGTAAAGAGACTTCTTTTCGAGACTAGTTTCCAAGTTTAAACAAGGGTCATAATACAGAGACCTAATAACTAGCTAAACAGTGCAAATACCTAGCAAAGCCAGGCTCTCCCAGGAAACTCACCCATCCTCCTTTTTTCTGGATGAACTCTTGGATGGCTCTGGTCCCACTGATCTTGTTCCTGCTGATTATGCGTACCACTGGAGCAGTCAGCTGCTCTACATTTTTTAGGAGCCATACAGGCCACACATTCAAGAAGTTTCACCAACAATGCAAGAAAGGCCCTCTCATGGGAGAAGCTTGAATCCTGAGCATACCAGGCCAGAGTATAGCTTCCAACTGAGAACAGAATGGCCATTAGTAGAGTAGCATTCAAAAGCCAGATGCCGGTGGCTCACACCTGTCATCTTAGCTACTCAAGAGGCTGAGGTCTGAGGATCGCAGTTCAAAGCCAGCTTGGGCAGACAAATCCAAAAGACTTTTCTTTTTCTCCCTTTGGTCCTGGGGCCTTGAACTCAGGACCTGATCACTCTCGGTAGCTCCTGTGTTCAAAGCTAGCATCCTCCACTTGAGCCACAACTCTACTTCCGGCTTTTTTTGTTTTTAAAGGAGGGTGGTGGTTAATTGGGGATAAGAGTCTCATGGAGCTTTCTGAGCAACTCTCAGTTCCAATTAACAAAAAACTGGAAGTGGCAGTATGATTGAAGTGGTTGAGCACTAGCCTTAAGCAAAAAAAGCTAGGAGAGAAAGTAAGACCCTGAGTTCAAAACCCAGTACTGGCACAGACACACACAAAAAATCTTTTGGGGTATAAAGGAGTTAACAGCAGTCAGGGCAGAGTGTCAGAACCCAAGCAAGCCAAGAAGGGAATACGTACATATTGAAGGATACCTAGGTCTTAGTTTCTACATATGACTCTTCATTAAAAGAAACAAAACTCCCTGGAGAATGGCTGATTCCAAGCTAGTCATAGAAAGTGTAAGATCTTCTGTTAAAAATTAAAGAAGGGAATCGGGTGCCAGTGGCTCACACCTGTAATTCTAGCTACTCAGGAGGCTGAGATCTGAGGATCATGGTTCAAAGCCAGCCCAGGCAGGAAAGTCTGTAAGACTCTTATCTCCAATTAACCACTAGAAAACCAGAAGTGGCGCTGTGACTAAAAGTGGTAGAGTACTTGCCTTGAGTGAAAAGGCTCATACACAGCATCCAGGCCCCATGAACAACTGAAAAAAAAAAAAAAAATCAAGAAAAGACTGAGGAATTATTCCAGACTGAAGCAGCCAGACAGACATGATAATTAAACAATATATAATTTTGACAGATATATGTATTTTGTAGTCCTGAAGTTTGAACTTAAGGCCTTTCACTTGCTAGATAAAAGCACTTCTAGTAGATCCAAGAGCCCAGTGCTTGGCCTAGTCTTTCTGCTATAAATGGTACTTTTGGGGGGAACTGAAAAAGCTTGAATGGTACCTAAGGATCTGCTGATTTTGTATCAATGTTAATTTTCTTGTTTTGATTAGACTGTGGTTATATAAAAGAATGTTCTTTGAAGGAAATAACATTAAGGCATGATCAATTATCATGTCAGTTCCTTATTCTGAAATAATTAGAAATTCTTTGTACTAAAATTTTTTCCAAATGAGCTTGAGGCTGTTTCAAAGGGCTGGGTTTTGTTTTCCTTTTTCGGTTGTTTCGTTTTTGGGGGGTTTTTTTGGTCATGGGGTTTGATCAGCTTACAGAGTCACAAAGTTCCATCTCTTTATCATTTAGATTTTAACGCCCAGCAATTGGGCCTGATGACAGTGGCTCACATCTACAGCTACTCAGGAGGCTGAGAACTGAGGATCATGGTTGTTTGTTTTGTCAGTGGTGGGGCTTGAACTCTGTGCCTGGGCGCTGTCCCTCAACTCTTCAGATCAAGGCTAGCACTCTACCACTTGGACCACAGTACCACTTCTGGTTTTCTGCTGGTTCATTGGAGATAAGAGTCTCATATACTTTACTGCCCAGGCTGGCTTTGAACCAGGATCCTCACATCTCAGCCTCCTGAGTCGCTAGGATGACAGGCATAAGCCACTAACACCCGGTAAGGATCATGTTTTGAAGCTAGCTTGGACAAATAAACCTGATTTTTCTTTTTCTTTTTTTGCTAGTCATGGGGCTTGAACTCAGGGCCTTGGCTCTGTCCCTGAGCAGCTTTTTGCTCAAGGCTAGCACTCTAGCACTTGAGCCACAGCACCACTTCTGACTTTTTGTGTATGTGGTGCTGAGAAATCAAACCCAGGGCCACATGGATGTGAGGCAAGCACTCCATCACTGAGCCACCTTCCCAGCCCAAGATTTTTATTTCTAATTAACCACCAAGTGGTAGAACACTCGCCTTGAGCAAAAAATTCTCAGAGACAATGCCGGGCGCTGGTGGCTCACGCCTGTAATCCTAGCTACTCAGGAGGCCGAGATCTGAGGATCATGGTTCAAAGCCAGCCTGGGCAGGGAAGGCCATGAGTCTTATCTCCAATAAACCATAGGAAAACCAGAAGTGGTGCTGTGGCTCAAGCAGTAGAGCACTTGCCTTGAGCTGAAGAGCTGAGGGATGGCGCCCAAGCCCTGAGTTCAAGCCCCACAGCCAACAAAAAAAAAAAAAATCTCAGAGACAGCATGCAGGCCCTGAGTTCAAGCCCCAGGACACAGACACACACAAGATTAGCAACTGGCACTTCTTTGAATGAATATAAACCCCAAAGTTTCACTGAACTCTCCTAGTCATAAAATTACACAAGAACAGCAGCAAACAATAGCAAGAAATAAAAACCTGATCTTTTCTGGACTGGCTACAATGTATTAGGCAGACATTTCCAAGTCTCCATTGTAATGGTCACCCAACATCCAAAGGTGACCAACAATGACAGCCACATCGGAAGAGCCAAGACTCTCCTGAGAGAGCAAACACCTTTGTCACAAAGTTGGGAGGGATGATGAGCTCAGGACCTGGGCAACGGGGCAGAGTTCTCTAGTCTTTATAACAGTTGTGGTACTATTCTCTCCCAAGGACTGCAACATCCCCGTAAGAGCCATATTCCAAAAGTGGTAAGTGAAAGCCAAGTGAGAGTGAGGCTCTGAGCTCAAACCCAAGTACCGAACACACACAAATATTAACAATACTCTGACAGTCTTCCTGCGTTTAGAATTCATTTCTCCTCGAGTGTTGCTAAAAGTTTAGTTTGCCTTCTTATTTTTCTGTCGGTTGAGGTGAGGGCTTGAACTCAGGGCTTGGGAACTGTCCCTGAGCTCTTTTGCTCAAGGCTGGGGCATACCACTTTGAACCACAGCGCCACTTCTGGCTCTTTTGAACAGTTAATGGGAAGGTAAGAGTCTCACTGAAACATTTCTGCCTCAGCTGGTTTTGAACCATGCTCCTCAGATCTCAGCCTCCTGAATAGCTAGGATGACAGACGCGAGCCACCAGCACCTGGCTAGAGTCTGCCTTTAGAAACTTAGGAGGAAATAAAAAGCAGATTCCATTATCTTATGGACATGTCATTGCCACCTGACACCAGGAGTCTTACCTGAGTATGTTTCCACTCCACCACTCTGGTTAGCAGGTTGTAATGGTGTCAGGAAGTCTTTGAGAAGAGCATTCACGATGTGTTTTGTTTGCTCCTCAAAATTTAGGTCGCTCATTTTAGGTATTTGCTGAGTTTTGCTTTCCCACAAAATAATCAGTTGTCAGCTAAGCAGGAAGTTAGAGACTTCAAAAACAGAGATGTATCTATTTCTTATAAAGTTTCTTAAGCATACACGAGACATGCAGACCTGGACCTTTCTACAAAAGAGCTGCTCAGAAAGGTGAGCCTTCTCTCCAGAGCTCACCTACACCAGTGAAGACCTGCTGATGACTTCAGTTCCTTATCTTGAACCACACAACTAGTACATGAGATTAATTAATAGCTTTTATCATTACAGACAGCCAATATCCAATTACCCTCTGTAAAACAGAGTTGAGGAAGAACTTCTTGGGTAATTTCATTAAGAGATACTTCCTTTTTCTGTTTGTGATGAAACTTAAGGAAGATTCTGAAGTTTAAAAACGAATACAGCATTCAATTTTGGATCATGGCACTGAGTGATCACAATCTATGATGAATATTTGATGAGCGCCTATGTGCAGAGAACTACACACAGCACTGAAAGTGACATAGAAAAATGACAGAGGGACAGTTTACTGTGTTTATGAGGCTCACAATCTAGCAGAAACGATAGCCATTAAATGACTAGTCATATCACATCCTGTATCCTCGAGATAAAATGCCCTATCAGAACATGAAAGCCAATACAATGGTTGGGAAGGCTGACACCTGGGATGAGTTCTGAAGGGTAAGTATGGAGTCACTGAGCAAAAACAGGGAGGAATACAACTGTATGCAGGAGAAGGGATGGCATATATGATGGCAAGGAAAAAGCCAGGCCTTGGCATGTGCCTCTAATCCCAGCACTAGAAAGACGGAGATAGAGATATCTGTTCTTTTTCTTTTTTTTTTTTTTTTTTGGGGGTGGGGGTCCGGTCATGGGGCCTGAACTCTGGGCCTGGGCGCTGTCCCTCAGCTCTTCAGCTCAAGGCTAGCGCTCTAGACCACTTGAGCCACAGTGCCACTTCCGGCTCTTTTCTGTTTTGCTTATGTGGTGCTGAGGAATCGAACCCAGGGCCTCATGCATGCAAGGCAAGCACTCTACCACTGAGCCACCTTCCCAGCCCGAGATATCTGTTCTTAGAGGTTCTGATTTAATGTGTAAGAAGTGGTCAGTATAAATAAAAGGACAAGAAAATAATTGCAATAGTTCCCTTAAAGGTACATACCAGCAGCTTTGACAGCTTGAACAAGACCCTAATGAAGGCATAGAAATTTTCCAGAAAGAGCTGAACTGAATTGAGCTGAACACTGAAAGATACTTATGTTAATTAAAGGAAGATATGAAGGTAAGCAGAAATTCTGGAGAGAAATAGAAGTCAGTTTTAATATTGATTAAAGAACAAATATTCAGAGAACTATAAGCAGTTTACTGCTTCTTCTTTTTTTTTTTGCCAGTCCTGACTTGCACTCAGGCCCTGGGCACTGTCCCTGAGCTTCTTCTTTTTTTTTTTTTTTAAACATTTTAATTAATTAATTTCTTTACACATAACTGAAAGTGATGTTACAGTACATAAGTTATTTACAACTGTGCAGTAATGTGTTGCAAAATAAATTATCTAGACGTCCCTGAGCTTCTTTTGCTCAAGGCTAGCACTCTACCACTTGAGCCACAGTGCCACTTCTGGCTTTTTCTGTGTATGTGGTACCGAGGAGTTGAACCCAGGGCTTTATGCATGCTAGGCAAGCTCTCAACCACTGAGCCACCTTCCCAGCATGCAGCAGTTTACTTCTGTCAGAAGAGAGGATGCTTTGATAACGCTGAGATATGAGACTTAAGAAATACTTTAGATACTATACGAAATACTTTGGACCCTTGCCTAAAAAAGCATGATTAGGAATATGAGAACAGTCAGTTCCCTGAAGAAAAGATGACCTCTTAGAAATGATGACCCATCAGATTCCACAGATGTCAGGCATATTTAATAAGTAACTTAGCCTTCAAAACTGATTTGAAAAAGATCCCAATCCTATCCCCACCTCATCCCCAACTCTTAACCAACATCATCTCTACAATACCGTTACTGTGAATGGGGTTTATCATTACCATTAGGCAGAAGGAGGTAAGCAGGTCTTTGGACAAAAACTTTAAAAAAGCGTCCACATTCCTAAATTTCCCACTCTCCTTTGCATCTGATATCACCTGCACTTATAAGCAGATCTAATGAGGAAAATCTAAGAAATTCTGATAGCTGTCCATCTGCTTAGGGAAAGGAGCAAGAACCCGTTACGATTTAATGTCCCCAACTGTTCCAATCACAGTTTCTAATACAGAAATAAAACTGCTCAGTGAGCTCATCTTTTCCTGGCTTTGCTTCACCGAGATCTGCATTTCTGAGTTCTCAGGCTCCAACAGCAGTTCTGTTAGGAACAGACAGCCGCTGTCATCCTGAGCACTGAGGTAGGCTTTCCACGGCTGAGCCCCAGGCCTGCTCACTGCGATGGTCTCAATGTTCACCACTTGCAGGGCCGTCTGCAGAGCGTCTGGATGGATCACTCCCCGCCAAGGCAGCGCCTGCTGATGAGTTACTTCGCAGCTAAGCCAAGTCTTCTCAAAATGTTCAGCAGTAAGCTGGTGACTGGGGACCAGCACCAAAGCATCAGAATCAGGAAGTTCTTGTAGTGTCTCCTTGCTCTCCCCAGGCATCAGGTGTCCTAAAGGAGTTAGAAAGCTTTTGTAGAAGATAATCTGCATAAGCTACATTTTTATTCTACAGTCTCAAAATATATTGTGTGACTCTGTCATTGGATTCGTAACCAAGGATGAACTCCTTTCTTGCTCACAAAGGCTTCATAACGCAGGGGACAATCTTAGCTAGGGTAATCTACTTTCCACCAGTCATTACAGGAGATGAAGACATAAGTAAGGACTATTTACTTTTACCTGATGTGGCAGAGGATGTCCTGGGAGGAAGCTCTGGGCCACGATGCTCTGCCCTCTGACATTTAGGGATAGTTGCCCAGTGGGCTTTGCCGTACACTGGGACTAGGGTGTTGAAGTCCGGAGCCCAGCTATTCACAGGTCTTTCTGCCTGATCCTCCAAAAGTCCAAGAGATGGGTCAGATTTTGGACTACACAGGATCCGCTTAACTTCATCAATGCCAACTAACAGGAGGCGGTAATAGAATAGCCCTCGGTCTCGAACAGCCATATCCTTTTCTTCCTCTGAGATGACGTAAGACTCAGTTAATAAAAACAGACAAACAGCCCACGCTATCCTCCTACCATGTGCAAACTAAAAAAGAAAAAAAAGTGAAGACACTAGGAAGCACTAACATATTCTTCCAGGTCCCAGACAGGACAACTGACTCAGCAAACAAAGCTACGGGCATTTTCCAGGCTGGGGGAGGGCAGCCTGACTCTCATACCTATGCAGTGGTGTAGCAGGCGGCCCAGCATGTCCTGGCACTCGGCAGGGCGGGAGAGAAAAAGGCGCAGCAGGGCAGTAAGGAGCTCCATCTTCACGGCAGGAAACGTCTCTGACCTCACGTTTTCTAAGAAGTCCTCTAACACATATGGAGCGTTGGGAATTCTCTCCCCGTGGACACCAAGTAACCAAATAAGCGCCTGCTTGCCCTAGAAATGAGCAAGTCACAAGAGCTCAGCCCTGGGCGGCCTAGGATGTAAGTAGACAATGATTGCTTTCGCTTTTCCTGAGTTCCAGCAGACAAGGTATAATTATTATATTGGTTCTCACTGCTATACTATGACAAACAGGAAAAGAAATGCTAATACAAAAGGGAATACTCATGGACTGGGAAGGTGGCTCAGTGGTAGAGCGCTTGCCTTGCATGCATGAGACCCTGGGTTCGATTCCTCAGCACCACATAAGCAAAAAGAAAAAAGCCGCAAGTGGCGCTGTGGCTCAAGTGGTAGAGCACTAGCCTTGAGCTGAAGAGCTGAGGGACAGCGCCCAGGCCCAGAGTTCAGGCCCCATGACCGGACCTCCCCAAAACAAACAAACAAACAAAAAACAAAAGGGAATACTCAAGCTTAAAAATTCCACAAATAATTCTGGTTCTCATTTCAGTTAAAAGTTCATGATCTATTTACCAGCAATACATCTGACAAAGGCCTACTATCCAAAACATACAAGGAATTAACCCCTCCCAAAGCTAATAAACCAATTACTAAATGGGCAAAGGAGGTAAAAAGAGACTTTTTAAGAAGTAAAAATGGGGGCTGGGAAGGTGGCTCAGTGGTAGAGCGCTTGCCTTACATGCATGAGGCCCTGGGTTCAATTTCTCAGCACCACATAAACAGAAAAAAAAAAGCCGGAAGTGGTGCTATGGCTCAAGTGGTAGCGCACTAGACTTGAACTGAAGAGCTGAGGGACAGCGCCCAGGCCCAGAGTTCAGGCCCCACGACTGGAAACCCCCCCCCCCCCAAAAAAAAAGACTAAAGAAGATACTCTTAGAGGAGAGCATCTCTGTTTGTTTGTTTTTTGGTCAGCCATGGGGCTTGAACTCTGGACTTGAGCGCTGTCCTTCAGCTCTTCAGCTCAAGGCAAGCGCTCTACCGCTTGAGCCACAGCGCCACTTCTGGTTTTCTAGTCGTTTATTGGAGCTAAGAGTCTCACGGACTTTCCTGCCCGGGCTGACTTTGAATGGCGATCCTCAGATCTCAGCCTCCTAGGTAGCTAGGATTACAGGTGTTGAGCCACTGGCGCCCAGCAGTACCTCTGAACACTTAAAATACTTGTAGGAGAAGAACACAATGGCATAATACCTCTGAACATTTAAAAATTATTTACTAAAATTAATTTCAGGACATGAAAATAGTAATTTTTTTTTTTTGGTCAGTCGTGGGGCTTAAGCCCTGGGCCTGGGTACTGTCCCTTAGCTGTTCAGCTCACGACTAGGGCTCTACCACTTGAGCCACAGTGGCAATTCCTATTTTCTGGTGGTTTATTGGAGTCTCATGGACTTTTCCTGCCTGGGCTGGCTTTGAACCATGATCCTCAGATCTCAACCTCCTGAGTAGCTAGGATTACAGGCATGAGCCACTGGCACCTGGATTAAAAACATGGAGTTTTTGTTGGTGTTGGTAGTGATGGTTGTTGTTTTGCTTTTTGTTTTGTTTGTTCTTTTTTCTGTCTTGTGAGGGGCAATGGAGGACACAGAAATAAATGGAAGGAGGAAGGGTGAAATGATTCAGGCATGATACTCAGTAGACACTATGCAGAAAATGAACCACATAACTGTGGGCAGGAAGAGGAGGGGAAAACTAGGGGGAGAGTGAAGAAAAAAGCACATACCTGTGACCTAACTTATGAGATGGTAATCCCTAGGTACAGTACCTTAATAACAATAAAGTTATAATTTAAAAAATCCTCCATGGCTGGGCACCAGTGGCTCACGCCTGTAATCCTAGCTACACAGGAGGCTGAGATCTGAGGATCACAGTTCAAAGCCAGCTCAGGTAGGAAAGTTCATGAGACTCTTACCTCCAACCAACCACCAGAAAACCAGAAGTAACACTGTGGCTCAAGTAGTACTGTGGCTCAAGTGGCAGAGTGCTAGCCTTGAGCTGAAGAGCTGAGGGACAGCATCCAGGCCCAGAGTTCAAGCCCCACAATTCACAAAAAAAAATCCTCCATGATCTAAATCTCTGACTTTAAAATGTTCAGGAGAGCAATGGTATAAAAGAATTTGTAGGGGCTGGGAAGGTGGCTCAGTGGTAGAGTGCTTCCCTTGCAATGCATGAGGCCCTGGTTCAATTCCTCAGCACCACATAAGCAAAAAGAAAAAAGCAGGAAGTGGCGCTGTGGCTCAAGTGGTAGAGTGCTAGCCTTGAGCTGAAGAGCTGAGGGACAGCGCCCAGGCTGAGTTCAGGCCCCACGACCAGATCTCCCCCCCCCCCCCCAAAAAAAAAGAATTTGTACTAAAAAATATAGCTAAGCCAGGTGCCAATGGCTACTCAGGAAGATGAGATTTGGAAGGTCACTGAACCTAGCCTGGGCAGGAAAGTCTGTGAGACTCTTATTTCCAACTAATCACCAAAACACCAAAAGTGGAGGTGTGTCTCAAGCAGTAGATTTCCTTTGTGGGCAAAAAGCAGAATAAAAGCTCAAGGCCCTGATATCAAACAGCAGTAGTGGTATGTGCTCACCCGCTTGCACACAATACTGTTATGGCCCTGGGTTAAATCCTTAGCTCTACAAAACAAAAACAAACAGATCCAGTGCCCAGAGAATCACACTGTACCTCACTGTCCTGAATGCTCTCCTCACAGCCCGGCAGGGCTCGACACACTGCTTCAGTACACTGAGGACAGAGCCAAACCAGGTCTCGGAAAGTCTGCACCACCGCTAAAACAAAGTCCAGGACAAGAATATAGGATTAGAACCTGCACACAGCGAAGAACCCGAGCAAGTCTTATATTCAGACTAGATTTATGAAATAAGGTTTGGTAGGATGACCCTTATCTGAGAAAGGCGGAACATGGGCAATACTTCTTATATGACTTTTTTTTTTTTGGGGGGGGGGGAGGGGGTTAGGTCACGGCTTCAACTCTGGGTCTGGGCACTGTCCCCTCAGCATTTCAGCTCAAGGCTACCACTTAAGCCACATCACCATTTCTGGCTTTTTCTGCTTATATGGTGCTGAGGAATCGAACCCAGGGCCTCATTCATGCAAGGCAAGCACTCTACCACTGAGCCACCTTCCCAGCCATGACTGTTATTCTTGTCAGATGGACATGAAGATAAATGGCTAATATATAGAAAGGAACTCTGTAATATATAATGTAACCAGGCGCTGGTGCCTCTCACCTGTGCACCTAGCTGCTCATGAGGCTGCGATCTGAGAATCAAATTTGAAGCCAGCCTGAGCAAGAAAGTCCCTGAGACTCCTATCTTCAACTAACCAGCAAAAAGCCAGACTGGTAGCCTTGAGCAAAAAAAGCTAAAGGAGAATGCCCAGGCCCTGAATTCAAGCCTCAGCACTAGCACAGACAATATAGACATATATAAAATGTAACATATTCATGTAAAAATGTGATCTGTAAATGTTAATAACTATATGTAGACACAGTAAAATGTGTATCACAAATATAAATATAATATAAATGTTTTATGCAAATGTGAGCTCATAACATGATCAAACAATATTCTGAAGACAGTATAATTGGACCTTAGGGCTGTGGGGAGGCTAGCAAGGTGCCAGAATTGAATAGTTTATGAAGGCAGAGGCTGGCTCTTGCAGGAATCTGAGGAGAGGCCTCTCTAAATTCTGCACTGCTATAACCTTGCTGCCTCACCATAGTCCCAATATTGAAAACAAGAGCTCACAGAAATAAAGAAAAAGAGATGAGAAATTAAGCCAAGTTAAGTGTCAATGGCTAAGATCTGAGAATCGTGGTTCAGAGCCAACTGGGGCAAGAATGTTTATAAGATTATCAGAAAAAAAGGTGGACTGGAGTTGTAGCTGACTGAGAAACAGCCATGAGCAGAAAAGGCCAAGCAAGAGTTCAGGGCCAGTACAGGAAAAAATCATGGGGAGATTACAAGCAAGGCCTTCTTAGTACCTCTGTTATCTGTGGTACAGACCTGAAGATCCTGTGTGTATCTTTTATGTGTGGTACAGACCTTGTCACACCGACGGTCCTGTGCGTCTCTGAGAGCAGCAGGTGATAGTGCAGATTTAGATTACTCATTCAAAGAAAACCTGTCTTGCAGTACTGGGATCTGAACTTGGGATTGCACCTTTCCAATAACAATAAATTGTGTTTTTAAAAGTTATATCAGCTGGGCACAGGTGGCTCATGCCTGTAATCCTAGCTACTCAGGAGGCTGAGATCTGAGGATCATGGTTCAAAGCCAGCCCAGGCAGGACAGTCTGTGAGACTCTTATCTCTAGTTTACCACCAGAAAACTGGAGTGGCACTGTGGCTCAAGTGGTAGAGCACTAGCCTTGAGCTGAGGGAGAGTGTACAGGCCCTGAGTTCAAGCTCCAGGATGAGAGGGGGTGCAGAAGGGGGAGAGAGCAAGGGAGAGAGAGAAAGAGAGAGAGAGAGAAAGATTAGGTCTTGTTTCCTACCCAGGAACACACAGAAATCCACCATCTTTTTTTTTTTTTTTGCCTGCTGCTACAGCTAAGATGACAGACACACATATAGCACTATACTCAGCTATCATGAAATTTCTTGCCTGGACTGGCCTTGAACCAGGATCCTCTGATCTCAGCCTCCCAAGTAGCTAGGATTCTGGGCATGAGCTACTGGTACCAGGCTGCCCCAGTTCTTTTTGCTTTTAGTTTGTTTTTCAAGTAAGGTCTTGTGTTAACTCTGCCCAGCTAGCCTTAGACAACTATAATCTTCTCACCTCTACCTCTTGAATAGTGGAGATTACAGGTGTGAAATATCATCACCAGTCCCCCAAAACGATTTCTGGAGCAACTACTAAAAAGCAGACACTTTGCATTAAAAAAAAAAAGTCCTAGAAAGGTGGCCATTACCCGTGGTAACATGCTCTTGGTGAAGCCCCAGCAACTCTGTTAGAATCTGCACACACTGATCTGTGTAAGTCCTGGCAATGCCACCTACAGAGGAAGGAAAGGGAGAGACTGGTAAGTCAAGCTGGGCCCAGTGGCTCATGCCTGTAATGACCTTTTACCAATTCAACAATCCCATAGTTTTTCATCTTTAAAACACTCATTTTCAGCTGGGTGCCAGTGCCTCACACCTGTAATCTTTTCTGTATTTTTGTTTCTGGTGCTGGTTCTTGGGATTTGAATGCAGGGCCTATGCGCGTCTCTGAGCTTTTTGCTCAACAATAGCACCCTACCACCTGGGCCACTTCTATCCTTTTTGGTGCTTAATTGGAGATAAGAGTCTCAGGATTTTCCTGCCTGGGCTGGTTTGAACTAGGATCCTCACATCTCAGACTCCTGAGTAGCTAGGTTATAGTCATGAGCCACAGGCATCTGGCTTTCTACCTGTAATCTTAGGTACTCGGGAGGCTGAGATCTGAGGATCCTGGTTCAAAGCCAGCCTGAGCTGTCTTTGAATCCAAGATACTTATATTGACAATTAACCACAAAAAGCAGAAGAGGAACTGTGGCTCAGTAAAGTGGTAGAGTGCCAGCTTTCAGCAAACAACACTAAGGGAGGGCATGAGGCTCCGAGTTCAAGCAAGACCCAGTACCAGCGCACAAAGGAAAAAGAGAAATACCCACTTTTCCTTACTGCCTCATAAGACTACAATAAGGGCTTGGAACATGGCTCAGTGGTAGAGTGCTTGCCTTGCATGCATGAGGCCTTGGGTTTGATTCCTCAGCACCACATAAGCAGAAAAAGCCGGAAGTGGTGCTGTGGCTCAAGTGATAAGAGTGCTAGCTTTGAGCTGAAGAGCTGAGGGGACAACGCCCAGGCCCAGAGTTCAGGCCCCATGACTGACAAAAAAAAAAAGACTACAATAAGATGATGTATGGGAAAGTATATGGATAGAAGACAACAAAAGGTAATACACATTTCAAGTATGATAGTCTGAGTTACCTGTATTCTCTATCACAACAGAGACACTAGTCTTTTTTTTTTTTTTTTTGGGGGGGGGGGGTCCATTCGTGGGGCCTGAACTCTGGGCCTGGGCGCTGTCCCTCAGCTCTTCAGCTCAAGGCTAGCACTCTACCACTTGAGCCACAACGCCACTTCCGGCTTTTTTCTTTTTGCTTATGTGGTGCTGAGGAATCGAACCCAGGGCCTCAGGCATGCAAGGCAAGCGCTCTACCACTGAGCCAGCCACCTTCCCAGTCCGAGACACGAGTCTTGATTGAAAAAAAAATCCCTTTCTCCTTGCTTGTAACCTACACTTTTTCCCCTGAAGCAACTCATTCTCTTCTGTGTTCAGCGGTTCCTCCAACTACAGTGCTGTAGCTAGCTGGCTCCAGCTCTAAGGAGAAGCTGCAGACGCACACCTATTGCAAAGATGGCAGCCTGAGCAAAGTCAGCAGACACGTCGGTGCAGTACCCTCGAAGCTCTTCCAGCACCTGCTGCACGTTCTCGTCATTCACCAGCTCGCACAGCACCTCCACCTTCTGGAGCTTGATATAATGGGGCTCCGAGTAGGAGCAAAAGAACTTCTTGTAGTGGCTGCTGAAGTGACTTGGCAAACTGCGTAAGATCTGACGCACGTGACAGAGGGCAGCGAAGCAGAGTTCCCGGCTCTCCGAAGAACAGGCAGCAAGCAAAGGCCCCTTGACTCGCACCAGCACGTCACTTTGTACATGGGGGAACTTTTTTGCTAAGATCAGAAAGAGTTTGGTGGCTCCCATCACCACCCCGGGACTGCTACTTTTGAGAAAGCTGTCCAACAGATTGAGAATGTCGAAGAGTTCCTCCTCACTGCGAGGCTGGTAGCGAAGCAGGAAGTTCAACACCTCAGCCTGGCCCCACTGGTCTAGTTTTGACATTCTGTCCAAAAAAGAAAAGAAAAGCACTATTTTAACAACAAAATTAGGAATATCTGCATACTACTGTCCTGTACCAGGCAGCTATTATAACAAGTACAGAATTCCTAATAGGGATTCCATAATTATTCCATAATTATTCTTTTTTTACTATGAGTTCCCACAAAGTAAGCTTTTAAGTCCAAGTCAGGGTGATGAAACAAAGGCACACTTGTCTAATACTGAAGTCATGTTCAGCATACACTAGATTCTCTCTACATTTTTCTTTTTCTCCATACTAAGGATTGAACCCAGGACCTTTACCACTGATGAACATCACCAGTCCCAGATTCTCTACTTTTTTTTTTTTTTTGGTCATTGGGCCTGGGCGCTGTCCCTGCACTTTTCAGCTCAAGGCAAGCACTCTACCTCTTGAGCCACAGCGCCACTTCTGGTTTTCTAGCGGGGAGGAGGAGGGAAGGCTATTGGAGATCAGAGTCTCACGGACTTTTCTGCCCGGGCTGGCTTTGAACCACAATCCTCAGTTCTCAGCCTCCTGAGTAGCTAGGATTACAGGTGTGAACCACCAGCGCCCGGCTCAGATTCTCTATATTTTAAGACAACATAAATTGCTTAGTTTGGAGGACACAAAGCTGTAGAGGAGGGAAGAACACGTCCCTCGTGCTGCTTCTGCTATCTCTACAAGAGAAATTAAGTCAAACAAAAGAAATTCTCTTAGTGAAGTGTAAGGAAGTTAAAACTTAGGGTTAACTTTTTTTTCCAGCCTTTCAACAGGTCCCAACAGAATGCAGTCACCACAACAAAATGAGGACGGGACATCCAAACCTATTTAGGAGATGGTGAGCAATGGGCTTGTTAATGACAACACCGCCTTCCTGTTTTAGGATTTCTTCTAGAGACCTCAGGCAGTTCACAACTACAATAGGGTCCTGGTCACGCAGCAAACTGTATAACTCATTTACCAGGGCACCATCTATAAAAAAGAAAAACAAAAACAGATGAAGAAAACCTTCAGAGTGACAGGTACAAAGCCATAGTAATAACACTAGGCAGGTAAAATTCTTTGCTAAAGAAATGACATATTGAAACCAGGTACCAGTGGCTCACACCTGTAATCCTAGCTACTCAGGAGGCTGAGATCTGAGGATCATGGTTCAAAGCCAGGCCAGGCAGGAAAAATCCATGAGACTCTTATCTCTAGTCAACCACCAGAAAACCAGAAACATCACTGTGCCTCAAAGTGGTAGAGTGTTAGCCTTAAACAAAATAACTCAGGGGCAAGCCGGGCACCAGTGGCTCACGCCTGTAATCCTAGCTACTCAGGAGGCTGAGATCTGAGGATAACAGTTCAAAGCCAGCCCAGGCAGGAAAGTCCATGAGACTCTTATCTCCAAATAAACCACTAGAAAACCAGAAGTGGTGCTGTGCCTTAAGTGGTAGAGCGCTCGCCTTGAGCTGAAGAACATAGGGACAGCGCCCAAGCCCAGAGTTCAAGCCCACGACCAACCAAAAAAAAAAAAAAAAGAACTCAGGGGCAGTGCCTAGGCCCTGAGTACAAGTCCCAGGACTGGCAAAAAAAAAAAAGAAAAGAAAAAAAGAAAGGAAGGAAGAAAAAAGACAACTCAGGAGCCAGTAGCTTATTCCTGTAATCCTAGTTACTCAAGAGCCTGAGATCTAAGATTAACATTTGAAGCAAAGCCCAGGCAGACAAATCTGAGACTACATCTCTAACCAGCAAAAAGCCAAAACTGTGGCTCAAGTGGTAGAGCAATAGCCACAAGCAATAAAGCCACGTGAGAGCTTGAGGAGCTGAGTTCAAGCCCCAGTATGGGCAACAAAGAAAAATAAAAGTAAATATCTATCTATATAGAATACATATGGCATATGTAAAATGATTTTGTATATGTATGTTATCTATATAATATGTATATATCATATAGGTAACATACACACACACACACACACACACACACACACACACACACCACTAAAGAATGAGAAGGGACATTGAAAACATGTTCTAAAAGTTAAAAAAAAAAAAAAGTTTAGGCAGGGGCTGGGAAGGTGGTTCAGTGGTAAAGTGCTTGCCTCGTATGCATGAGGCCCTGGGTTCAATTCCTCAGCACCACATAAACAGATAAAAGCTGGAAGTGGTGCTGTGGCTCAAGTGGCAGAGCACTAGCCTTGAGCTGAAGAGCTGAAGGACAGCACCCAGACCCAGAGTTCAAGCCCCACAACCAACCAAAAAAAAAAAAAAAAGAAAAAATTTTGCTGGGCACTGGTAGCTCACACCTGTAATCCTAGCTACTCAGGAGGCTGAGATATGAGAATTGTGGTTCAAAGCTAGCCTGAGCAGAAAAGTCGGAGAAACTCTTTTTTTTTTTTGGTCCAGTCGTGGAGCCTGAACTCTGGGCCTGGGCGCTGTCCCTCAGCTCTTCAGCTCAAGGCTAGCACTCTACCACTTGAGCCACAGCGCCACTTCCGGCTTTTTTCTTTTTGCTTATGTGGTGCTAAGGAATCGAACTCAGGGCCTCAGGCATGCAAGGCAAGCGCTCTACCACTGAGCTACCTTCCCAGCCCCCGGAGAAACTCTTATCTCCAATTAACCACCAGAAAACTGGAAGTGGTGGTGTGATTCAAGTGGTAGAGTGCTTGCCTTGAACTGAAGAGCTGGGGGACAGCACCCAGACTCAGAGTTCCAGCCCCACGACCAAAAAAATGTTTAAAAAAAGAGTTTTGTTTTTTGTTCTTGTTTTTTAAAAAAAGAGCTGGAAGCTGGTGGCTCATTCCTGTAATATTAGCTACTCAGGAGGCTGAGATTTGAGAATCGCAGTTCAAAGCCAGCCTGGACAGCAAAATCTATGACTCTTATCTCCAATTAACCACTGGAAAACAGGAATTGGGAGCCATGGTTCAAAGTAGTAAAGTGCTAGCTTTGAGCAAAAGAGCTCAGGGACAAAACCCATGCCTTGAGTTCAGGCCCCATAACCACCAAAAAAAAAAAAAGAGGTTAAAAAAAGTATAAGTCTGGGCTGGGTATAAGCCTTGAGCTGAAGAGCTGAGATTCAGCATCCAGGCCCAGAGTTCAAGTCTCACGACCCAAAACAAACCAAACAAACAAAAAGAAAGAAGCACGTGTTAGAAAACTTGACATATCTACACTGTTCTAAGTAGCTTACTGCAATAGTTCTCATCTTGTTCCCGTTCACCCCTCTCCCCACAAAAACCTCTAGTAGGAAGTCCTACACCCTGCTAAGACCCTGCAGTGGAGCCTCTTAGACACATAGTAAAAGCACCAGTGAACGACACTGAACTTACCGACTTCAGAGTCTCCGTGTAGATTGTGCATCTTGGCACAACCAAGGACTGCCACCCTACGGACATAGGAAGCCTTATCCCTCAGACCGTTGAGAATAGGCTGCTGGGTATATTCTTGTACTCCGGGCACCCTAGAAAATAAATGCATCCTGAAGTCAGCCTTCATACCTCTTCGAATATTTAATGGAGGGCTTTGCTTAGATATAATTTAGACGTCTCACTGTACATCCATCAAATCACAAACAATCAGAGAAAGCCTCTACCAAACTTAACAAGTCTAATTTGGCTTTCATTTGGATTAAGGCTGTATAGACAGAATAAATTGTTCACTAATAATTACTTAAACATCTTTACTAAAACTGAGGACTATTTACCAAGAACGAGAATTGAAAATTTCCTTTAATAAAATCAATAATACAGCTAGGCACGGGTGGCTCACATCTATAATCCCAGCTACTCAGGAGGCTGAGATCGGAGGATTGCAGTTCAAGCCAGCCTGGGCAGGAAAGTCCATGAGACTCTTATCTCCAATTAACCACCAGAACACCAGGATTGCAGCAGTGACTCAAAGTGGTAGACTACTTGCCTTAAGCGAAAAGAGCTCAGGGACAGTGCTCAGGCCCTGGGTTCAAGCCCTACAACCAAGAAAACAAAAAATACTTCAGAAAGTCAAAGTAATAGCTAAAAGTCTGATTTGGGGTATCAGTGTTTTTTTGTTTTTAGTCAGTCATGGGACTTGAACTCAGGGCCTGGACACTATTCCTCAGCTCTTCAGCTCAAGGTAAGCGCTCTACCACTTCAGCCACAGCGCCACTTCCGGCTTTTTCTGTTTATGTGGTACTGAGGAATCGAACCCAGGGCCTCATGCATGCAAGACAAGCACTTTACCACTGAGCCACCTTCTCATCCACAGTGGGGTTTTTTGTTGTTGTTGTCATTGTTGTTTTTCTCGGTCATGGGGCTTGAACTCTGGGCCTGGGCACTGTCCCTGAGCCCTTTAGCTCACGACTAGAGCTCTACCACTTGAGCCATAGTGCCACTTCCTGTTTTCTGATGGTTTATTGGAGATAAGAGTCTCATGGACTTTTCTTCCCTGGGGCTGGCTTTGAACTGTGATCCTCAGAACTCAGCCTCCTGAATATCTAGAATTACAGGTGTGAGCCACTGGTATCTGGCCCACAGTGTCTTCTTTAGTACGGAGAAGCTCAAGTAAGTTGTCCTCATAAAAAATATACCCCATGGCAGACCACAGGAAGGATAGAAGGGTAGTGGGGGAGTATGATAAAGTACAGTCTACGCCCGGTTGATAATGTTTTAACAAAATCCTGCGTGTTGTGAAGTTAGTACGTTCTAGTAAAGAAAGCAAACATCAAGGTGAAAACATCAGCCTCTGCGGACCAGACTCACCTGAGACTACACAGGCCCCGCAGGGCCAGGCCTCGCACCATGGGGTTGGCGTCCGAGCAGTCTTTGCACAGGGTGTTGATGGCCAGGAGAGCCAGGTCCGGCTTCAGGGGTGCGTATGTGCACATGTACAGATAAACCAGCTTCTTTTGAACCACATCTGCAGTGGCACCGGCCTTAACCATCTCCAAGAAAACACCAGACATGTCCAGGCCCTGAGTCATGTGTCTGGAACCAACATGCACAGCAGCAATCAGTAAAATACAAAAGCCCCAATCAGAAGGATTTTCATTCACACAAGTTGCAATCACGTAGAAAGGATGCAAGCTTGTCTACTTTGTCTCATTATGTCACAATACTGTTTTTTTGGGGGGACAGGGGTGGGCCTTGAACTCAGGGCCTGGGTGCTGTTTCTAAGCTCTTCTGCTCAAGGCTAACACTCATCACTTTGAACCACAGCTCCACTTCTGGCTTTTGAGTGGCTAGAGATAAGTCTCTCACGGGGACTTTTCTGTCTGGGCTGGCTTTGAACAGTGATCCCCAGATCTCAGCCTCCTGAGTAGCTAGGATTACAGGCTTGAGCCACCAGCACCCAGCTGTCATACAATATGTTACACCAAGGGCCTGCAATAAATATTGTTCTATGTGTTCAAAACTTGTTGAATCCCTAGTACCTTCTAATGAAACTGAGCTTTTTCATTCCAGGAATATGCTGAGACATTTTTTTTTTTTTTGGTCAATCATGGGGCTTGAACTCTGGGCTTGGATGCTGTCCCTCAGCTCTTCAGCTCAAGGTGAGCACTCTACCACTTGAGCCACAGTGCCACTTCCAGTTTTCTGGTGGTTAACTAGAAATGAGTCCCACAGACTTTCTGCCTGGGCTGGCTTTGAATCATCATCCTCAGATCTCAGCCTCGGATTAGCTAGGATTATAGACGTAAGTCACCAGTGCCTGGCTGACATAAACTTAAAAAAAAATAATTTGTTATTGTAAAGGTGATATACAGAGGGGCTACACTTACATAAGTCAGATAAAGAGTACATTTCTTTTTGAACAGTCATTCTTCTCTTACTCTCTCCTAGTCTTTCCCACTTGTCCCCACCCACAAGTTGTATAGTTCATTTTCAACATAGGATTTAGCACCACTGCTGAATTTGTTCACTCTTTATCCTACCATTTCTTTCTTTCTTTTTTTTTTCAGTTGTGGGTCTTGAACTCTGGGTCTGGACACTGTCACTTAGCTCTTCAGCTCAAGGTTAGCATTCTACCACTTGAGCCACAGTGCCACTTCCAGTTTTCTGGTGGTTTATTGGACTTTCCTGCCCAGGCTGGCTTTGAAACTCATCCTCAGATCTCAACCTCCTGAGTAACTGGGATGACAGGCATGAGCCACTGGCGCTGGGCTTGTCCAACCATTTCTGTCTCCCCCACTAACCTTCCCAAAGACAGATAAACAAGATAAAGGGAAAGGAAACAGCAACTAAGAAAAAGAAACCTCGTTTCCATTTCTTGGAGTTCATTTTGATAAATATTATTTATGTGGTATAGGGTTCTACAGCACCTATGTGATCCTCTCCTAAGAACATCCTCCTTTGGTCTCACTGTGTAGATGTCTAGAAACTTGTATAATTCAACTTTTCCCTGGGCGCTAGTGGCTCACGCATGTAATCCTAGCTACTCAGGAGGCTGAGATCTGAGGATCAGAGTTCAAAGCCAGGCTGGGCAGGAAAGTCAAAGAGACTCGTATCTCCAATAAACCACTAGAAAACCGAAGTGGTGTTGTGGCTCAAGCTGTAGAGCACTCGCCTTGAGCTGAAGATCACAGGGACAGCGCCCAGGCCGAGTTCAAGCCCCACGACAGGAAAAAAAAAAATCATTTCCTGGTAGTATTTTTTTCTTTTACCATCTAGTGTGTTTACTTATAGGCACATTCTAGTTACTACAAATGAGGAAAACCGGTTTATGCAACCTATGTTTCTTTGGGTCTGGCTTACTTTTCTTTTTTTTCTGTAAGTATTTTTATACTTCAAAGCAAATGTTCAGTCTAGAACAATCTGTTTAAAAAAAAAGTAACAGTATCATCAAGTAAGAGTTAAGAGTTCTTTTCTTTTTTTTTTTGACAGTCCTGAGGCTTGATCTCAGGGCTAGGGCACTGTCCCTGAGCTTCTTTTGCTCAAGGCTAGCACTCTACCACTTGAAGCCACAGCACCACTTGTGGCTTTTTCTGTTTATGTGGTAGTGAGGAATTGAACCCAGGGTGGCTTACTTTTCTTAATACTTTTTCCAAGTCTTTTTTTTGTTGTTTCTTGGTTGGTCGTGGGGCTTGAACTCTGGGCTTGGGCACTGTCCCTACGCTCTTCAGCTCAAGGGGAGCACTCTACCGCTTGAGCCACAGCCCCACTTCCAGTTTTCTAGTAGTTTATTGGAGATAAGATTCTCACAGGCTTTCCTGCCCGGGCTGGCTTTGAACCATGATCCTCAGATCTCAGCTTCCTGAGTAGCTAGGATTACAGGCATGAGCCACCGGCACCCAGCTCCAAGTCTTTCCATTTCCTCACAAATGGCATAATATCATTCTTTCTAATGGATGCATCGAATCCCACTGTGTAGATATACCACAATTTCTTGACCCACTCGTCTACTGAGGGGCATCTGGGTTGATTCCATGTTGGCTATGGTAAACGATGCTGCACCGAACATGGTTGTGTTGGTAGCTTTAGTATGGCCTTGTTTGTGGTCATTTGGGTGAATGCCCAGAAGTGGGACTGCTGGGTCATAGGAGAGCTCTGTGTTTAGTCTTTTGAGAAACCTCCATACTGCTTTCCATAGTAGTTTAACAAGTTTACATTCTCACCAACAGTGTATAGACTTTTCTTTTGGCCACTTCACTGTCATTATTTATTATTGTTAGTATTCCCAATATTGGCCATTCTAACTGGGGCGAGGTGAAATGTCAATGTTGTTTTGATTTGCATTTCTTTTATGGACAGAGATGTTGAACATTTCTTCATGTGTCTATTGGGTATTTTGTTTTACTTCTTCTGAGAAGTCTCTAAGCCTTTCGCCTGTTTATTACTTGTGTCGTTTTGAGATTTACTTAAGGGGGGAGAAGCTTGCTTTTTTGAGCTCTAAGTATATATTAGATATGAGGCCCTTGTCTGATGCATAATTGGTAAAAAAAATATCTCCCATTCTGTGGATTTTCTATTTATTTTGTTAGCTATGCCCTTATCAATGAGCCATAATCTTAAGACCCATAGGAAGTCTAGACTAGTAAAGCAGAAGACTACCACTAACTACAATACAGTAGATAAGGACTTAAACAATATACAGAATACAAGCAGGGGGAGTCCTGAGGCCTGACATTATCAGAAAAAGTCGGAAATGTTTCTTTGCTGCAGCAGCAATACTGTAGCCTAAAGGTTCTGAAGCTCATCAGGCAGATAAGGTAATGATATGATTAAAGTCCCTCTGCGTATCACCTCTACGGAACAGACAGGAACCGCCCATCCCTGCTGGGCGGTGGAGGCTGGGGGCTGGGACCTGATCCCAAGGCCAGCACGGAGACAAATCTTTGAGACTCATCGCAAACCACTAACAACGCCGGAGTAGAGGTGTGATTCCGGGAGTAGTGCGCCAGCCTTGAGGTGCTGAGGCCGAGAGCACAGGGCTCCGAGTTCAGGTGCCCGGGCTCGGTCGGACCAGGAGAGCGAGCGGCCCCTACCCCACTGCTCTTGCTCGGTGAGTACCCGGGGGCGGGCGGCCCGGGCTCCAGGCCACGGCCGGGCTCGGTCTCCCCCGGCCTCCCCTCCTCCCGCCCCTCCCTAGCGCGGCCTCCGTCGTCATCCCGGGCGCGCCTCCACCCCCGCGAGCTGGCGGCTCGGCTCTCCTCAGGAGCTCCCTCGGCCCCCAGCCGCACGCGGCGGTCGCGGGGTCACGTGCGGTCCCGCGCGGCACTGGTCGGCAGGCGCTCCGGTCCCGCCGGCTCGGCGTGGCGGCCGTCTTCCCGGCCCTGGGTCTTGAGCGCGGGGCCCCGGCCCAGCCGGCGCGCGGCGGTACCTGATCACGCGCTGGATGACGTTCCGGTAGCGCAGCCGATCGGCCTGCACGTTCGGGTTGCTCAGCGCCTTCCCCAGCTCCTTCACCACGTCGGCCGAGCCCAGGTAGGGCATCTTCGCCCGGCCGCCGCGTTACCCGCTCCGGACCCTCACCCCCGCAGCGCCGGCGACTCGCGCCCCACCCCGCCCCCCACGCCGCTCCGTTCCGTCCGCAGCTCGCTCCGCCCACACGCCGCTCCGTTCCGTCCTAAGATAGCCCCGCCCACACGCCGCTCCGTTCCGTCCTAAGATAGCCCCGCCCACAGCTCGCCCCGCCCACACGCTGCTCCGTTTCGTCCGAAGCTCGCCCCTCCCACACACCGTTCCGTTCCGCCCACAGCTCGCCCAGCCCACACGCCGCTACGTTCTATCCGCAGCTCGCCCCGCCTACACGCCGCTTGACGCACAGCCTGACCCGCCCGCTCGGCCGCAGGCCCCGCCTTCCCGCTCCCCCACTGCCGCGGCCCCGGGTCCAGGGTCCGGGGTCCGGGATCCGGGGTCGGCCCGATCTGGCTTTCGGCGCGCAGTCCCGCCCGTGGGGAGCCGCCACTCACCCTGTGAGCGCCGAGCCTAGCCCAGACCCCGACCTAGGGCGCCCTTCCCCCGGCCTCTCCCCTCCCGGCGTTCGGGGATCGGCTGCTCGGCCTGACTCCGCCCGACAGGGCCCGCTCCGCGGGGCCTTCCGCCCGAGGTCATCGGCTCCGGCTGTCCCCCGTCCCCCCGGCCCACACCCTCCGCCACCGCCATGAGCGGGGTGGCGATCCCCCACACGCCCATCGCCGTGGACCTGTGGAGCCTGCGCCGCGCCGGGTGCGCACGGCTCTTCTTCTTGTCGCACCTGCACGCGGACCACGCGGCGGGGCTGGGCAGCAGCTGGGCGCGGCCTCTCTACTGCTCCCCGCTCACCGCGCGCCTCCTGCGCCGCCGCCTGCGGGTACGCGGGCCGGGCACCCCCGGGGTACGGGTCCGGCGGGGTCACCCCGAGGGAACGGCGGGGTCACCCCTCGGGTTCGGGGTCCGGCGGGCTCGCCCCTCGGGCCTCCGGCCTGTGTCCGAATGGGGCCCTGAGTTTCCCGCGGCCGGGCCGGAGCGCCGCTCGGCTGCGGACTCCTGGCCGTCCAACGGAACCCCGCGTCCCCGGAGAGCCTGAGCCGGTGCGCCGGTAGCCGGTGGAGTGTGCGGGACACACCTGACACGCGAGCACAGCCGTCCCCCAGGCAGGCACAGCTAGCACAGCAGAGGCCGGCTGGGGGCTTTCGCTGGTCCTCTGCTCTGGAGGCTCCGAGGCCCGAGGATCTGGAAGCCCGGGCCTCTCGTCTCCACTGAACCACTCAAAGCCGGAAGTGGCGCTGTGGCTCGAGTGGTAGAGCTCCAACCTTGAGCCCAAGAGGCTCAGGGAGAGCGCCCAGGCCCTGGATTCAAGCCCTAGGACTGTCAAACAAAAATAAAAACAAGAGTGGGCACCCTAGCGGCTCAGAGCGCCCAGTCGGTCGATCCCCAACCTCTTCTGCCAGCCATCAAAAAAGAATAGAACGCAGAATGCGTGTGACACGCTGTGAGCACGCAGACCCCAGCCCTCACCCGCTCCACTCAGTAGGCAAGGCCAGCTCTTGAGTCTGGCTGAGCTCTGGTCTGACAGCTTCCCTCACATTCAGTCTAAAGCTGTCTAAGGTGAGAGGGAGCAGGCAGAAGTGCAGGCTGCTTTGGAGTTCCACCCTAAAGCATCCACTAACACTCCCGGGTGGATGAGGCCTTCATCTGTCCTCCTAGATGCGGACACCCCGAGGGGAGACCGTGGCTCCTGAGATGACCGGCTGTTTCCTCAGGTGTCTGAGCAGTGGATCCGAGCTCTGGAAGTCGGAGAGAGCCATGTATTGCCTCTAGATGATGTGGGACAGGAGACCATGACTGTCACTCTCCTGGACGCCAATCACTGCCCCGGCTCAGTCATGTTTCTCTTTGAAGGATACTTTGGAACCATCCTCTACACAGGTGGGCCTCTCCGAGTCTCCCTTCCAGCACTTTGCTCATGGAAGCCCAGTGGCCTCCTGACTTGATTACATAAAAGTACATTGACTGTCAAGACCTGGCGGGGAATGTGAGGATGGAAACTTCCTCCCACAGAGAAGCTGTGCTGCCCCATGTTTTCCCAGAGACCCTCTAAGCAGACGCCCAGCTGTTGGTAGATGTTGGTAGATGTTTTCCTTTTGTCTTTACCCTCTACCCCTCACCCAGGTGATTTTCGGTATACACCATCCATGTTGAAGGAGCCGGCCCTGGCTTCAGGGAAGCAGATCCATACACTATACCTGGACAACACCTACTGCAACCCAGCCCTGATTCTTCCTTCCCGACAAGAAGCTACTCGCCAGATCATCCAACTCATTGAAAAGCACCCACACCACAACATAAAGATCGGTGAGTTGTTCTCTTTTCCTCTTATAGTAAATCTAGCTTCTTTGAAGGTTCTCATAACTTTCAAGCTTGTGTGCCTCTTTTTTCCCCTTTTTTTGTAGGGGGAGTGCTGAGATCCTTAGATCTCAGTCTCCTGAGTAGCTAGGATCACAGCCATGAGTCACCCATGCCCGGCGGTTTTGTTGTGTTTTTGAAGTACTAGGTTTCAGTTCTTGTTGCTTTGTTTTCTTTTTGGGGATATTAAAGATTGAACATTGGCGCCATCCTGGTGAAAAAGGTCACCTGCATTTTTTTTTGCCAGCCCTGGAGCTTGAACTCAAGGCACTGTCCATGAGCTTTTGTGCTCAAGGCTGGCGCTCTACCACTTGAGCCACAGCTCCACTTCTGGCTTTTTTAGTAGTTAATTGGAGATGAGTCCCAGGGACTTTGCTGTCTGGGCTGGCTTCAAACCAGGATCCTCAGATTTTAGCCGCCTCTTCCAGCTTTTTAATGGTTCATTGGAGATAAGAGTCTTGATGCAGTTTTTCACCCAGGCTGGCTTTCAGCCAAGATCCTCAGATCTCAGCCTCCTGAGTAAATAGGATTACAGGTGTGAGCCTCCAGTGCCCGATGCTTCATGAGTTTAATATATTTGTGTTAAATTGCTGTATGAGGATTCCTTGGTTGCTTTATTCTCTTCTTTCTTTTGCTTTTTCCTTATTCCTGCAACACTGTCCAGGACTCTATAGCCTGGGGAAGGAGCTGCTGCTGGAGCAGTTGGCCATGGAGTTTCGCACCTGGGTGGTATTGAGTCCTCAGCGCCTGGAACTGGTACAGCTGCTGGGCCTGGCCAATGTGTTCACTGTGGAGGAGAAGGCTGGCCGCATCCATGCTGTGGACCACAGGGAAATTTGCCACGCTGCCATGCTGCGCTGGAATCAGACCCACCCTACCATCGCGATCCTTCCCACGGGCCGGAAAGTGGGCAGGCCCCACCCGGATGTCCACATCATCCCCTACTCTGACCATTCCCCCTTCTCGGAGCTTCGTGCCTTTGTTGCAGCGCTGAAGCCCTGCCAGGTGGTACCCATCGTTGGCCAGCAGCCCTGTGAGGGCTACTTTCAGGACAGCCTGAGCCCCAGGTGCTCTGTGCCCCTGATCCCAGACCCAGTACAGCAGTTCATGAGTTCCTCCTCTAAAACACCCGGCATTTTCTGGCTGCTGGAAAAGAGACTGAAGAGGCCAAGAATCCAAGGGGTCGTGTTTGAATCCCCTGAGAAAAGTGCTGATCAATCACAAACTGACAGAAACTCAAAGAGGACCAAGAAGGAAAACCATTCCCCCCAGGCTGGGCTCCCTAAGAAACCCTGTTGCCATCCTCACCAGGTCAAGAAGCAGTTGTTCCCAGACTCTGGCAGCCAGGCACAGGAGGAGGCAGGCCCTTGCTGTGAGTCCCAGAAGATGGGGTCTGTATTGAATGCTCCCTTGGGATTTTCAGTGCAGTTAAAGTTCACAGACAAGGAGTTTTTCTCTCTACAGACTCAGGAGGATATTGGTTTAGGGTCCCCCTTGAGACCTAGTAGAGACAACGGTCCCGTAGCCACAGAAAACCAAGATGCCTGGACAGGTGGCTCTCCCCTTGGGAGTGGCAGCAGGCCTACCCCTCCTCCAGCCACTGAGCCCAGGGGCCTGGCACAGAAATACCTGCTCACTCCAGGGAGCTTTTCCCAGGCAGGGTTCTCTTCCCAGAGCTTTGATCAGCAAGTGGAAAAATACCATAGATCTCTGGAGCACAGATGGGGTGGTACACAGTGACAGTGCTGTTTGGGTTAGCATTAAAATTTTGTTTTGTTTTGGTTTTTTTTGTCGGTCGTGGGGCTTGAACTCTGGGCCTGGGCGTTGTCCCTCAGCTCTTCAACTCAAGGCAAGTGCTCTACCACTTGAGCCATAGCACCACTTCTGGTTTTCTGGTGGTTTATTGGACTTTTATGCCCAGGCTGGCTTTGAACTGCAATCCTCAGATCTCAGCCCCCTGCGTAGCTAGGATTACAGGCATGAGCTTGGGTTTCTTGTTTCCGGGCCTCATCTTACAGGAACCTATGGAATTACCTCCAGCATTACTTCCCAAAAAGCTTGTCTGGAGTCTAGTGCCTTTGAAATCCTCACTTTGTAGCTGATTGTTGTTATAAATTCTTTACTGTGTGCCTGCCACATGGAGGTTTCTTAGAAATCCTAAGCAGCTTCATCTGTTTAACTTTGTTTAACCCAGTTTTTACTCCAACCACTAGCCTTTTTATTAGGGTACAGAGAGTAGGTTATTTGTATTTTCATTTCCTGTGTGTGCTATTCTCTGCATCTCTCCTTTTCCTACAGGAAAGTTCTAGGTGTTTTGTTGTTGTAATGGTGTACTAAAGGGTCAGCCGGCGTCCAACCAGCATTTCACGTTCCTGAATGCCACTGACTTCCTGTACCTCCCCCAGGGAGGGACAGTGGCGAAAAATTCCACCTCTACCTCCTTCCTACCGCCTCCTGTCACCTGAGCCCACATAGAGGCCAGCCAGCCAGGACCAGGGCCAGGACATCGTCCCCAGGCTCTACCTGGAACCCAGCTGAACTTGGGGGGCGGGGGGTGGGGAGGACTATTTGGCTGAAATGAGTTACAAAAGGTAAAATGTGCTGCCAGATTTTTTTGATTGTTCGCATAGCGAGGATATTTTTTGCCCCGCCCCCACTGGTTAGAGTTAGATAGCCCGAGCGAGCGAGCAAGCGCACAGCCTGTTTGTGTTGGTATCCAGACAAGATATGGGGCCAGCTGGCTGGAAGGGGTGAGGCTCGCAGCTCAGCCCTGGCCTTCTGCTCATTGCCTGACAACATGCCAAACCAACAAGCAGGAGAGCTGGCTCTGAGAGCGCACATGGAGCTGGGCGTGTAGACCAAAGCTCCAGCCCTAGAAACAAGATCTCAAGGCTATTCCTTAGCCTCAAGCTTTCTATTTCAGGAGGGAAAAATGAAATTAGAAAGCAAAATAAGAGCCAGGTGCCTGTGGCTCACGCATGTAATCCTAGTTACTCAGGAGGCTGAGATCTCTGAGGATTGGGGTTTGAAGCCAGCATGGGCAGGAAAGTCAGTCAGACTCCCAATTAACTTGCAGGAAACTAGATGTCACTGTGGCTCAAAGTGGTAGAGCACTAGTCTTGAGTGAAAAAGCTCAGGGACAGCACCCAGGCCCCAAGTTCCAGCCCCACAAGCAACCAAGGAGGGGGGGAGGGAGCAGGGAATGGAAGAAAACTAAGGCTTTGCTCCTGGGCAAGTTGCACCCAGCTCAGCTGTCAGTGACCTTGGCTGTGGGTGTCCAAGGCCTGCGGGGATGTGCAGTGTTGCTGAGGAAACCCCGGCACTGCTCATGTCTGGGACACCTGGTAAAGTGCTCCCGCGAGGACAGCTCAGCCACTGGGCTGTTAAATGTGGCCTGTGATACCTGCTGCTCATGATTACTGTGGAGATAACGCTTATAGAACACTACTCAGTCTGTCCCACGACAGTTTTTCACATACTGATTCTGTGGCTGGCAGTACTGCTCAGTGGTACCGTGTGTGTTCAGCATGCTGGAGGCCGAGTTGAATTTGGAACATCACACGCACAGTTTGAGTCTGGTTCTAGAAATTATATATAAAATAAAATTTGGAGATCTTGTTAAAATATAGAGTATCAGTTACTCGTGCTTGTAACCCTAGGAGGAGCACAGTTCATAGCTATTCCAGGCAGGATAGTCCACGAGATCCTTACCTCCAAATAAGCTCTAAAAAGCTGAAGTGGAGCTGTGGCTTAACTGATAAGGCACCAACCATAAATGAAAGAGCTATGAGACTGTCCAGGCTTTGAGTTCAGGCACCAGTTCTGGTGTACACGATTTTTTTTTTTTTTTGGTCAGTCATGGAGCTTGAACTCTGGGCCTGGGCGCTGTCCCTCAGTTGTTTAGCTCAAGGAGAGCGCTCTACCACTTGAGCCACAGCCCCACTTCCGGTTTTCTCTGAGTAGTTTATTGGAGATAAGAGTCTCAAGGACTTCCTGCCTGGGCTGGCTTTGAACCGTGATCCTCAGATCTCAGCCTCCTGAGTAGCTAGGATTGCAGGCATGAGCTACCAGCATTTGGCTCATGTACGTAATTCTGAATCCTGCATTTTAATACCTTCAGTATTTTACTGTGTCGTTCAAAAATGTGTTTTAAAAATCTATTTTTAACTTATTTGTAATTTTTTTGTACAAAAGGGTTTCAATTAAACATGTCACATTATTAAAAAGTCTTTTAATACTTGTGTGATATTCTGTCAGGTGAGTATACTTTAAATCATTTTCATTATTCAACATTTTGTGTACTGTTTTTAAATTATACACCTGTCAGAGGCTCAAGCCCATAATCCTGCTTCCAGTTCTTTTGTGGCGGTCCGGTTGTGGGGCCTGAACTCTGGGCCTGGGCGCTGTCCCTCAGCTCTTCAGCTCAAGGCTAGCGCTCTACCACTTGAGCCACAGCACCACTTCCGGCTTTTTTTTTTTCTTTTTGCTTATGTGGTGCTGAGGAATCGAACCCAGGGCCTCAGGCATGCAAGGCAAGCGCTCTACCACTGAGCCACCTTCCCAGCCCCCTGCTTCCAGTTCTTGATAAAAATTGTATGAAAGGGGGCTGGGAAGGTGGCTCAGTGGTAGAGTGCTTGCCTTGCATGCATGAGGCCCTTCGTTCGATTCCTCAGCACCACATAAGCAGGAAAAAAAAAGCTGGAAGTGGTGCTGTGGCTCCAGTGGTAGAGTGTTAGCCTTGAGCTGAAGAGCTGAGGGACAGCGCCCAGGCCCAGAGTTTAGGCCCCATGACCAGACCAAAAAAAAAAAAAAAATTGTATGAAAATGGCCTCCAGGCTGGGCGCTAGTGACTCACACCAGTAATTCCAGCTACCGTGGAGCCTGAGATCTGAGGTTGTAGGTCTGAAGCCAGCCCTGGCAAGAAAGTCCAGAAGACTCTTCTCCAAATA